GTTTCTAGTTAAGTGCTTTAGAGTTATAGAAAAGAAAGGAGTTAATAATTCACATATTCAAGTCATTAAAGACATGTATACAAAAGTTGTATTCATACACAGGGTGGTTTGACCAATTATTTTTCTATTTCAGTTGGATTACATCAAGGATTAGCTTTAAGTCAATATCCTTTTACTTTATTCATGGATGTTCTAACTAGACATTTGCAACAGGAAGTACCCTAGTGTATGGTTTTTGTTGATGTTATTCTTCTTGTTGACAAGATTAGAGAGGGAGTTTAAGGAAAGCTTGAATTATAAAAGTCAATTTTAGAGTCTATAGCTTTTCATTTGAGTAGATCTAAAATTGAATGCATTGAGTGTAATTTTATTAATAATAGAGCTAGTAGGGGGATTGCGACTTTGGGCTATCAAGTCGTTAAAAAGAGTATACGTTTTAGATATCTCGTAATGTAATCAAAAGAATATAGGGAGCTATACTCTTGATCGCAAAAGACACGACGGACTTCTATGGACGAAAATGAGAAAAGGACGAGAAAAGAGACGAACAAACTCTTACATTTCAAATTAAACTAAACAAAAGAAAACTTACAACAATACAAACGACTCTTGCAAACAAAATGACGACACCCTAAAGTTGCTGCACTTGGAGAAGAAAGATACAGGTGGAGTGGCACTTGCGGAAAGACGAAAGAGATTAGAAGCCTGAGAAGAAAGGTTGGAAAGAGCCCGCAGGATTTCCGGAGGGGATGAGAAAGAAGGGTGGAAAGAGCCCGCAGGATTTCCAAGCAACCCGCAGGTTAACAGATGTTTTTCCAAAAATCAAATATCATTCACTATTTCAAACAATACATAACCCCTCATATTTATAGGTATGAAAGGGGAATACAAAAGGACACATACATAAATTCTAACACATAAAACTAAGCACTAAAAGCATGGGAATCTCCCCCCAAGCTCACGGTTAAACACCCAAACCAGGAACCAAGGAGACAGCCGTGGGAGACGAAGGAACCGCACGGACCAAAGAGCCACGACCACGGGAAATGAGGGACGGTCACGGAAGAAGGAGCCCAGCCGTGAGATCCCAAGAGGCAAACAAATAAAGCCATGGTGGAATTCAAGGAGCCACCATGGGAAAAAGAAATCTTGGAATTCCAAAGGCCGGTTTGGAATTCCAAGAGACAAACATTAAAACAAACATAAAAATCATAAAATAACATTTAATAAAAGATAATAAATGAACTAAAATGTTAGTTCATAATGAGCTAACCCTTAGTTCAATAAATGAACTAAAGTCCAGCTCATAAATGAACTAAAAGTTCAGCTCAAATATGATGAACTACTAGACTCAAGGGAAGCCAAAATTTGATTTATTTTGGACTTGTGTTGACCCCCCCTTTGTCTAAATCATCTCGGGTCTATTTTTCAAAGCGTTGGTTAAACATATGAGGATATTATTAGTAAAATTCAAGTTGAATGGCTGAAGCGGAAAAATAAGTCAAGCATGTTGTGTAATAGAAAAGTACCCTCAAACTTAAGGAAAAATTCTATAAGATGATGGTGAGGCCTACAATGTTCTATGGCATATAATGTTGACATTAAAGAGAAACATAAAATTAAGTTAAATGTTGTAGAGATGAGGATGCTCAAGTGGATGAGTGGGCTTACTCTTAAAGACAGAATGCAAAATGAGTATGTACATGAAAAGATTGGAGTATCACAAGTTCCAAATAAGATTAAAGAGCTGCCATAGAGTTTGGTGGCATAAACGTTGGCCTTCTGATGATTGATTAGGAGAGTAGATGTATTAGATTCGGCCTATGTTAAGAAAGGTAAAAGAGATTTAAAAAGGCTCGTTTAAAAGTATTAAAAATGATTTTTTTTTATTAGATATAAATAAGAATTTGACTCTTAATATGACACAATAGAGAAAAACGATTCATGCTACCAACCCTACATAGTAGGATACATGTTTGATGTTGTTGATGTTATTGAATTGCATTAAAGATGAAGATCAAAAAGTATTTTTTCTAGAAGATGATATTCAATATAGGTAGATAAGATATTTCAATAAATTTTTCAAAGGTTGTGAGAATACGATTCACTTTCATAACCTTAGCGCCCTACATGAAAATAGATATTTTTATTTGTATCATCATATTAATAAGTAGAAGTTGGAGAGGCTTTAAAAAAATAAAGTGTAGATAAGCAATAAGATATGATGAAATTTTAATTTAACTGTGAAAATGCTTAGGAAATCAACAAATTTCTTAGCTTAATAAAATTTTTAATAATATTTTAAAAGTTCAAAAGATGTAAGATGAGTTGAGTGTGTTGGTTCCTAATTTTAAAAATAAAAGTGATGCACAAAGGTGTACGAATTATATAAGTTAATGTGTCATACATTAAAATTATGGAAGTGAATAATTGAGCATACGCTAGGACATAATACTAATGTTTCTCAAAATCAATTTGGATTCACGCCGTATAGGTGTACTATGGAAACTATACATTTATTGAGATGTTTGATGGAGAAGTAAAAGAGAATATGGAGGATCTACATATTATATTTATTGATTTAGAGAAAGCATATGATAAAGTTTCAAGATAAGTGTTATGAAGAATTCTACAAATGAAAGGAGCTAATAATTCGTTTATTAAAGTAATTAAGGATATTTATAGAGCAGCTATTACCTATGTTCAAATACAAGGTGGTTTGATCAAGTGTTTTTTTTATTTAAGTTGGATTACATCAAGGATCAGCTTTAAGCTCATATTTTTTTACTCTAGCCATTTGCTGCTCTTACTAGACATTTGCAAGAGGATGTACCTTAGTATATGTTTTTTATCGATGATATTCTTCTTGTTGATAAGAATACAAAGGGAGCTTGATAAAAACTTAAATTATGGATCTCAACCTTAGATCCCAAAGGTTTTTGTTTGAGTAGCTAAAATCAACATGTTCAGTGTAATTTTAGTAGAATAGATCTACTGGTTGGATTGTGAAATTAGGTAATCAAATCATTAAAAAACGTGCACATTTTAGATATCTTGAATTTATTGTTCAAAGGGATGAAGGAATGCACTGAACCTGTTGAGTGATAGAAAAGTACACCTCAAACTCAAGGTTTAAAATTGCGTAATTAAGCCTCGAGGCGGTTTTCGTCCGTGAGGCGAGGCGTAAGCCTCGAGGCGGTTTGAGGCGTAAGCCTCACGGACACAGAATTGCTTAAATGAGAAATTAAGGATTTTTCTTACAATCAAAAAAACATAAACCCTAGATTTTCTTACACTTGAAAAATCTAACCCTAAACTAAAAAAAATACCTAAAATCCAATGTGGAGTACTCCTAGAGGGCGGCCGGAAGTTTCAACTTCGCCGGAGAGAGGCGGCGCCGGCGGGAGAAGCGGCGGGAAGGGAAGCTGGTGGGTAAGGACCGTGCGGGAGCTCTCTGTTTCGCGAATTGGAGCCGTGCGGGTAGGAAAAATTCGGAAGGAGCTGCTGTCGTGCGGGTTTAAGGAGAAAAAAACATTCATTTTAAGTGGGTGGGTCCATTCCCATGAGGCGTACGCCTCACTAAGAATTGCGCAATTGCGCCTCTGAGGCGCGCCTCAGTCCATGTGAGGCGTATGCCTCTGCCAGGGATGGAATTGCGTAAGCTTCGAGACGGTTTTTAGACGAATTGCGCAGAGGCGCGCCTCAAGGCGCGCCTCTTATTGCGCAATTTTAAACATAGCTCAAACTTAAAGGGAAATTGTACAAGATGGTGGTGAGACCTGCCATGCATTATGGTGCAAAATGTTGGTTATTATAAGAGAAGCATAAAATTAAGTTATGTGTTGTAGAGGTGAGGATGCTCTAAGTGGATGAGTGGTTTTACACTTAGAAACAAAATGTGAAACAAGTATATACATGAAAAGTTAGAGTAGTTCCAATGGTAGATAATATTAGAAAGAGTGGCCTTAGATGGTTTGACCACATAAAAGATCAGCCTTCCAACAACGCTATTAGAAGAGCAGATGCATTGGAGTCGCGACCTATGTTAAAAAAGATAAAGGTGGACATAAAAAAGACTTGGTTAGAAAGTATTAAAATTTGTCTATTTTATTATATTTAAATGAGAATTTGATACTTAATTGACACAATTAAAAAAAAGGAGTCATGCAGCTAATCCCGCATAGTGGGCTAAAGACTTGTTTTATCTTAGAAAAATATGTATAACAAATTTGCCTCAAAGTAAGCAATGGTCGTTTAATGATTTCTCATAACCCTATAAAATATGAATTTTTTTTTAAATCAAATAAATATTTTAAATCTCAAACTTGAAATGAACTCACCTGTAAAAAATAAATTAAATATATATATTTTTTTACATTAACAATGAAACAATTCATCAAATAATAATATAAGGACGCACAGTTTCGCACACACTAGATGCAACAACCTCATGCATCATAGGATACAATATAATTAAAAATTTTTTCTTTCTTGCATGTGGTTGTAATGTTTAGTATAAATATTTATTTAATGATGCTTGTGTTGTAGACACTTCTGTTGGGTATTAGGATAAATATCTATATTATTCAAGCAAGTGGACATGTCTAAAATGGGTGACTGAAGCAGATATAAATATATTTGCTTTTGCTTGCAATTATAGCCTTTAAAACCTGAATAGGCAAGGCCAATAGGGGCCAAAATAGCTTGGCAGCAATCTTTGTCGGGCAATGAATGACTAAATATATGGATGAAATATATGCATGCTATCTAACATATGTTTTGTAGGAAATAGAAAACAAATAAATGATGCTATGAAGTTTAGTTTACGAAGTTATGTAAGCCTATGGAAAACAGTAAATAAATGAACTAAAACGATAAATACCAAATAAAAGCCTTAAAGAAATAGAATCCAAACTTGAAAACCGACCTGCTGAATTCCTACTGACGCACAACTGTTTTTTTTAACTTTCTTTTTTATGGTTTAGTATGGACCTAGCCACACCTGGCGTTTATCATTATTTTGGTTGATTTGATTTGTGATGATTGTGTGTATACTTTACCTGCACACAAAAAATGAATTATTTTTCATAGATATTTTCATATGCTTTGCATGAAAGTGGTCTGAACATATTTGTGTAGCAGACTATTAGGAGATTAAATTTTTCACCCATAAAGATATAAATAATATTAAAATCAACCATAGGGTAACATTTTTCATGTAAAACTTGCATGACTTATCAAAAATAAGCTAAGATTTAAAATCAAATTAAATTGAAAAACCTCCTTATGGATCATAGCAAGCAATTTAATATTTAACTAGTTGCTCATCCCATATATGTCAATAAACCACTTCATTTTGCACGGCACATCCCGGCACCTGTATGGTGTTATTTGGCGCAGAAGTTCAAAATAGCGTATGTTATTTGTTTCATGCATAAGCAAAGGTGCATGGTGCAAATAACACATGTAATTTTGTTACCATGTCATAAATTTTAAATTATAATTTATCATTAAAATTTTTAGAGTTTATATTTTAATATCATAATTAATTAGTAATTAATTAAACATCAAATTAAATTAATAAAATATCAAAACTTTTACTTTATATTAATAGGATTTAGGATTTACTTTTCTCGTCACTATTTCTTCGTTGATGATGATGATGTTGTTGTTGTTACGATTTCTTCGTTGATGGTTCAGTTTGGCGTGTGTTGCATTAAGAAGAGTTTTAAAAGAGTCGCTCCATGAAGCTTTTTTCGCCTTATTGGACAACGACAAAGCAAGTTAAAGGGGGGCTTGCAACGAAGGTAACAATCATTTTTTTCCTTTCACACACTTTGCCTAAAGTAGAGTTTTAAAAGAGTTGCTCAAGTAAGCTTCCTTGCCTCCTTCGACGATGATGATCCTATCAAATCAAAAGTCGCAGGTGGGCACACGATGAAGGCAAAGATCATTCTTCCCTTTCACACATTTCTTCAACTAAATTGTGTTAAAGTAAAATGGAGAAGGAACGGGATTTAACTTTTAGTAGGATTTAAAGCTACCGTTTTTTTTTTCAAGATTTAGTCTAAATCATACTTGTCAACAACGAATGGCGCACGGTTGCACAAAGCATCCCGTAGAGCTATGGCACATAACGCACGGCATGACGCGCGCCTTTTTAAAAATGTCGCAAAATATAAAATAATTATAAGAATAGGTATTAATTAAATATCATATTGACTAATGGAGAGATCCCATAGATACAAATTTATAGTGTGATTCGAAAGGACTACCAATTATAAATTATACTATAGAAAAAATGCTGCTAGTAAGAAATATATAGCCTCTGAAAGGCACTAACATCAATTCAACATATGGGTATATATAATAGAGGGTAACAGAAAGAGCTCCAAAGTCAAAGTTTTAAGAGATGTAAGAAGAAATGGCTTGTAAGCTTCGGCTGAAGTAAGAAAAGACGTGGGATTAACTTACGGTGGGAAAGGACAGATTCATGAGTCTCGTAACCTAGAGATGATGGGGAGAGGTCTTGTTACATTCGATACAAGCTGACATAAGAAGAAAAGAACAAAGGAGGAAGAAGTCATATCAAAGATCATTACCTTACGGCGAGCTTCCTTCATGAATTCATATCCGACGCCTTTGTCGAAGGAGATGACAAAGAAGGTGTCATGAGTCATGACCTAGCGACGAAGAAGATGGAAAGTTACACTCGACAGAAGTAGGTGAATGCAGCAAGCTTCGAACCACAGCGAATGTAGTGAGCTTCAAACCCTAAGGCTTCATGAGTGTCGAATGGTTCGGGCAATCGGCAAAGGCAGATAAAGTCTAATAAAAACCTAACTAAACTATCTTTATCATATTAAATAATTTAAATTTCATTATTATATTAACTTAGAAATTAAAATATTTAAGAGAAAAGGACCAAAATGATCCCTAACTCTTTTGAGGGACCAATTTGGTCCCTTGACTCCTTAAAAAGGACATTTTTTATCCTAATATCAAATTTTGAGATTAATGGTGTTAAATCAAGGGTTATTTTAGTAAATTTTAAATAAATTATTTATTATATATAATTTTCAAGTAATAGTAATTTTTTAAAAAATTATTAAATATTTTTTTAATAAAAAAAATATTAATAATTTCATTTTTAATTTAGGATCATTATAGAATAGAATTATTAATAATTTTTTATTAAAAAAGTTATTTATTAAATATAATTTTTTTCTTGACAAGTATAGCTCATCCATAAGAACATGCTTACCCAAATCAACATTAAACCCATTTGTGTTAGTTGATGAACATATGCATAACCTCATGAGTCTTCTGCAAAAATAAAAACTCTCGCATTACGGACTAGAAAGCTAAGAAAAATTGCACTGATGAGTTAACATAAATAGCCATAATGGCAGGGCACCTTAGCTTAAATGATTAACTTATAGGTCATTTTTCCTAAAATAAAAATTGTCAATCATACCTTGCATATGCGTTGAGTCCAAAATTCATGATTTTAAAAGCGCTTAAGTAAAATTACATTATTACGGGTCAAGTTGCCTTAACCTCTAATGAGATTTTAAGTTTATAAGTCACATGCATTTGTTAGAATTAGGTTCAAATTACTATCTTATACATGGTTATTATTTTAAATCAAGGACTCAGATATTGATATACTTTTCAATTATGTTATAAATCTTCATTTCGTAAGCATTTTGATAATCTTGTTTATTGAAATGTAAACTACAATCTTTTAAAGAAATGATCATTAGGTAGTATTAAATACCTCTGAGCTTCTCAGGATCAAGTATTAAGATCTTTAGTCATTTAGCTTCTATTCAAGATCAATTTCACATATCCTTGAAATTGAAATCCTTGAAGTTATATGAATAGATTTGTTAATCTTTTTAATTAAGAGAATGTAAACCACTATTTAAAAAAAAAAATTCAAGGAAAAAATATATTTTAGGATATAATTAAACATAAGAACTTGCCCTTATTGGAACTTTCACCCTAAAATAAAATAAATCATATTCAATTAAACATATTGGTAGAGAAAAATATTTGAGAATAAATAGAACGCAAATTTTATAGTAAGTACAAGATGAAATCATTGTTTAAAATTGTGTAATAAGATACGCGACTCAGCGCAATTCCTTCAAAAATGCTTCGAGGAGCACGCCTTGAGCTTTTTTCATAAGGCGTGCGCCTCAATTTGGTTGAGGCACACCTCGTCTCATTCGTGTGAGCCGTACACCTCAAATAATACACAATTTTTATTTTAAATCGTAAACCTAAGTTTCTATTCGTCATTTCTTCATTGTTGGTCGACTTAGTCTGCTTAGAATTTTAAACAAATCCCTAAACTTCTTTGCCTCCTTCGGAATTTCATCATTGCTGCTCGATGAATGGCTAAAAGCTTATATACCTCCTTCGACGAGGTTTCCTTCCTATCGGATTAGAAGCCACAACAACTAGTGACGTTCTTTTGATTGGATCGAAAGTAATAACAGGAGGTTGCTCACTGCGACCAAAGCCATCTTTCTCCCTTTTCACGTGCTTTGTCATTGCTCGCTGCTCAACTTCTCCTTCGTTGTTGTTCAACTTCGCCTGGTTCACATGAGATAGATTTTGTTCCATCAAAGTTGTTCAATTTTGCCTGCTTCACATGAGATAGAGTTTGAACGAGACATGCGCTTCTTCACCTCCTTGGATGCGTCGTAGTTTCTTTATTGTTGTTCGACTTTGACTGCTTCGCGTGAGGTAGAGTTCTAAACGAGTCGCTAACTACTTCACAAGAGTTCGCTTGCTACATAGGCATCGATCAGTATGGAAAAATTAAGATTACTTGCACTCAAAGTCTCACAACTTGAAACAGAAGCTCAAACTAACGAGGCAGGAAACAGACGGTCGGACAGTTAGTACAATTCTTTCAATAAGATAAAATACTTATAAACTAAATTTTTTTTAATTTAAACATATAATAAACCAATATATCTATTATTATTTGATCATCTCCTTCTGTAAACGAATTCTTCTCTTTCAGTCATTTAATTCATAGGGGATTTACCTAATATTTCAAATTTAACAATTTAAGTTTTCATAATAAACTTAGTAAATAATTACAGTTTATAGCATAGCAATTAAAAATGTATACAAATAGTCATGTTTATTCATCAAACTTTTCATTAATGTCATCTATATGAAATTTAATATAACCATAGATTTAAGTTATATCTTTTAAATAGTATTTATTCTTTTCTATTTCATTTGTTTCTTTCACATTTCATTTATTACAGGAGTACCATTAAATTTTTGTACCATTGAAGATACAACTATTTTCATTTTTATTTTTTTTATTTAATGTGTACGGATAACGTTGCATCCCCAGTCAATACTATAAAAGGGTAAACTCTAGTATTTGCATGCATATACTTTTTCCCTTCCCTTTGAATATTTTTCATTTACATATTACAAGTTTTTAAAAATTCTTTTTACTCATTTCATTTTTGTTACACATGCTTATTAATCTGTATACTCATTTTACACATACATATGTGTAAGCTTTGATTGCTTAGTCATATTCAATTTGCTACTTAACAAACAATTAAATATTAATAAATACATGCGTATGACAAAATATTCAAGAATTGAAATGAGACAAAAGAAATTAAAATTGTTATAAAATAACGTAATCACCCAATTTACTTCTCTTTCATGTGTTGACACTCTTTCAAGTTCCAAGCCTACTTTATATGCAACCTAAAGTCGCGTTCACAATTATATGAATATGTACAGTTATCTTAAAACTATACTCTTCATTAAAATTAAATAAATTTTGCATTAACAATATAAGTATCTCTTACCTAATTTTACCTAAGAACTCTCGTTATCTACAGCACTTTGCCTCATCTCAACAATTTGCATTCTTCACTATTCCAAATAACATTCATTTGCATTAATTTAGTATTAAACCACTTTAAAAAAATCAATTTCCATCAAGTTAACATTGAATTAATTGGATTTTGTTAAAAACAATCAAATGCATTCAAACATCACTTATGTAACATTAAATGTTTCTAAAGTTCATTGCTCCATTTTCTTTTCACAGAAATTCTCCATCTCAATTTCTTCTCTGCCTCACAATTACCATCTCCTCTCAACTCCTTTTGCTCGTTTGGTAACGAAGCGAATCGGAGTTATCTCACGTGAGGAGTCACAACTTTTCGTTTATGAATGCATTGCTTCGCTCATTCACGTGATCCCGCTGCTCGACCACACTCACCCGCTATTTCACTAGTCTCATCCGCCTTTGCCCGCGTGTTGAGTTAAGGGACTTGTTCGATTAAACCAATCCAATAGATTCTTACAAGAACAGCATACATTCCTTATAGACCATATTTGCTAAGTTTGTTTTAAATGTAATTAAATGGATCACTTTGCAATTGAATGCACTATTTATGGAAAGAAATAGGGTAATGAAATTAATGGGCGAATAAAATTCATGTATTTGATGAAGAGATTAGTGATTTTGCAAAGATTTGATTATTTGAATGTATGTATCATTGTCACTTTAAAAATTGAAATTGATTGAAAAAACTTTTACTTTTCAAGTTTATTTCAAGCATGATGAGATATTGTGTAACCCCTTACTGATAATAAGAAACTAAGAGTTGCATGGATATTCTTAAATTTAATGTTGAATGCATGATTTTGAAATTGTTATCACACATAACCATATACACTAGTTTGAATAGATAAAATTGCACCTTTAGTGACAGAGATACTTGATATCCCTTCAACATATTACAAATAGTGATAAAATCTTGTGTGATGTTTTCCTATGAATGTATTGCCTATGGATATTTTGAATCTACATGCTTTGGCAAAACTGAGTTGTATAGAAATTAATTTATGCTTTGGTGGGTTTTAAATAGAAAGATGTTATGCTAAGAATAACCTTGCATATGCATATTGGAATCAAATTCATTGCAATTGTGATGATCCCCAAAGCATACATGCATGGATTTTTAATAGTTCCTTTTTTTTTTTTGTTCTTAACTTGTTATTATAAGATTTTGTAGAGGATGGTCAAAAGCAATTGATAAAAGGCAATCCATGTACGTATATTTGAAATGTAACTATTGTGATAAAGTGGTGAAATGTGGGGTCATTGGGAAGGAGCACCTATCCGGATCACATAAAAATGTCACACCAAGTGCCAAAGTGCCTGATATCATAAGGGAAGAGAACAAAACATGTATGAAGAAGTCACTAATGTCAAAGCATCTAACACAGATACAATTTGATGACAAAGTTGAAGTGCCTCGTACAACGGGAGCGAGCACAGTGATCGTATTCATCTTCTTCAGCAGAACCCATGTCCTCTAGGGGTGCAAAGGGTCCCATGGGTTAATACATGGCAAACACATTAGAAGATAAACACTTTTACTACATAAAAGCTGACCTCAGAGAATGTCAGGGAGGCAAGGATATGTGTATGCATGGATATAAGCAGATTTTTTTACGAAAATACTATCCCATTTAACATTACAATCTCCCTACTTACGACAACATGATTTGTTCAATTGGAGCACATGAGCGAGGGTTGAAACCTCCATCAATGTATGACTTTTTTTTTTGAAAAAATTAAAAAAAAAAAAAAGTCAAACATTGATAGAGGTTTCAATGTATAACTTAAGAATACAGATTTTAAAGGAGAAATTAACAAATAGTGAGAGAAGTATCAAGGAAATTAAGAGGACTTTAGGCTAGATAAGGGTTACAATCATGTTTAAAGGATGATCAGATGTAAAGAGCAGGGTTAAAACCTTAAGGATGAATTCCTTAGTATTATACATCATGTATAATAAGAGACTTCCAGACAAAAACTTGAAGAAGAAGATTGAAGGATAACAAAGACCCTTTCATTAATGATGACATGCATCAAATGATAAGTGATTTGTAGATGATAATGTGGATATAGCACTATCTAAATTACGAGATGAAGATTTGAATGTTGATTTCTTTAATGGTGATAAAATGTTGATTTTCTATTGTTTTGTTATTGTGACGTTTAGATTTCAATTATATTTCACACAATTTATCATTTGTCATTTATATCTTGTGCATTTTTTTTTATTTAAAATATATGTCAACTTATTTCTTATGTCATCCTTTAATATATTGTTTGGTTATCATACCTAAAAAAATTTCATTTTTAGTCTTCATTTTGACTACGCAATTTTTTGGATTTTGAGGCGTGCGCCCGCCTGACGGACAAAAATAGCCTCAATATCCAATTGCGCAGTTTTAAACTTTAAATAAAATAATATTTTAATCTTCCAAGAAAATATATTATTTTTATGCTATAATCACAAATAATAATTTAAAATATGTTGACAAAAATTCCATATCATTGAGTTACAGGAAGTTTTTCCATTCATATTATAGATGAATATCTGGAAAATGAAAAATAAGTAAAAAAGCATGATGGCGATGAAATCAAGATCAGGGTATGTGCAAATAAAAGGGCTCAACAGAACACAATGTTGCAAGTATATGAGTTAAAACTGTTAAAGAAAGACTGTCACAATTGAGCGTATTAGACAATAAATTAAGAGGTTAACAATAACAGAGCCGTAAACAAATGGGTAGAACCTCCAATAGAAAAATGCATATTTCATATGGATTTTAAAAAAATGCATTAAAATACAACTACATTAGTTTCTTGAAATTCTTGTCGCATTGGTAGTTTGAAAACATGTAACATAATCCAAGGAAATAAGTATGTGTCTACAACAATGCAAGGAAATCAAAAAGGATAAAATAAACAAAAATGAAGCAAAAGAAATAGAAAAGCTGACCTGTAGACGAAATACAAAAGACAAATCTCTTTGCTTTAGATGTTCCTGTAAAAAGGAGTTCGAAATGACATTTGGGCTACAATCATCATATATTGTACTAAATTGATGAAGGCATACAACAAAATTTGTTTAAGCAATTAGATTTGGAGATTACAAAAATCATACATGTTTTACTTTAAAATATTATGAGCATATTCCAATTTCCAAAATATCTATTTCTTAGCCCACCTGTCCAAGGAGGATTTCATTCAGCTCGCTTAAAGACGGAGATCTTTCAACAGCACGAACCTGAAAGTAATGCGTACAAGTTCAATCAAGGTAGCATACAATATATTATACGAAAAAAATCCAATTGCATGTAAAATTAAAATGTACTACATAAATTTAGCTAGCGTAAGAACAAATAAGTAAACACAATTGCCAAGAAAGATATACAGTAATATAAATCTTAAATAATCAGGCTTCATTCAACTTCAAATTTCAACATTAACTCTTAGTAAGTTTAATTAAAATTACTCTCTCTAATTTAGTAAGAAGATGGCATTGCCAATTTTAAAAGCTTCATATCAGCCCTTTCCCATTACAAATATTCTGTAGGCCCTTCTTATTTCCCTATTCTCTCCTACAGGAGATGATTGCCTAATTAAAACCCCACCCAAACCATTTAGACAATTGGCCCTGTTGATAACTCAATTATGTCTGCATTCATGTGTGCCTATTTGCGACAAAGAGAGAGATGACCACCGGCAAGCTACCAACCTAGAATGTTTTCCAAGAGAGGGACAACAATAACATCAAGCTCTTATCTCACTACGTACGGTCAGCTACATGAATTATTTTTCTCCATTGTGTTCTGCTAGGAATCAAATTCTCATTTAAATCTAAAAAAATGTCATTTCTAATACTTTCTAACCAACATGTCTTAGCAAAGTCCACATCTAATACAACTACTCTCCTAACCTAGTTATCGGAAGGCTGATATTTTACAAGATAAAACCATCTAAGGCGACTCTCTTAAATCTTATCTGCCATTTGAGCTACTCCAACATTTTCATGCATATATACATTTTGCATTCTGTCTCTAAGAATAAAGCTACTCATCCACCAGAGCATCCCCATCTCTGCATCACTTCACTTAACTTTATGCTTCTCTTTTAATGGACAACATTCTGCGTCATAAAAGCATTGCAGGTCTCACCACCATCTTATTGAATTTCCCATTAAGTTTGAGGGGTACTTTTCCATCACTAACAGACCTAGTGCATTCCTCCACTTCAACCATCCAACTTCAATTCTACTAATAATATCCCATTTATTTCACCATCACTTTGAACAATAGACCCGAGATATCTAAAACATGTACTCTTATGAATGACTTGATCACCAAAGTCACAATCCCCCCATCAGATCTATTTTACTAAAATTATACTCCATATATTCAGTTTTAAATCTACTCAAACGAAAGCCTTTAGACTCTAAAGTTGACCCGTCGGATCCTCAAAATCTTGCCGAAATCGCGCCGATTCGGCGCCGTTCACGTCGCTTCCCCGCGAATCCCGCAACGACAGCCTTGATCGCTAATTTTTGACGCCTTTAAAAGCCAACCGAGCAGACACCTTCAGGGCTACTCCTCCGACACATTCGCCTCCTCCACGCGAACCCAAAGCCACTTCCGATCCCGTTCTTCTCCCGTGACTAACCCCGGCTACAGCTCTTCCTCCTGATCTCCCCACTTAGCCTTCCTCCTGATCTCCCCACTTCACCCTCCTACACGATCCCAACCTCCTACCTCCAATTCGCAAGCCTCTGACACCCTATCCCGCTGATCTCCTCACCCAGCCGAACACAAGCCCAAGGCAAACGTCCACCTCGCCTCCCCATCCAGACGTTCGAGCCTTGCACACGGCCGACTCTTGCTCTCGATCGTGAGCTCCGATCCGCACAGAGAGAGAGAGAGAGAGAGAGAGAGAGAGATCCACTTAGCTGCTGAAACCTCCACTTCTCGAACCCTTAGCCGCTCCTACCGAACTCCCCAGACCAAAACCAAGAAACCTCCCAATCTCCCTCTCTGTCGTTCGATCCCGCAAGCCATAGCAGAGAAGTAATTATTGTTAATTATAATTAACTATAATTAATTATGGTTATTATGATTAATAATTATTAATTGTTAAAATATATAGAAAGAAAATTTTCTCCTTTTGCCTCGATCTACACGCTGACGGTCGCTAAGGTATAACACTACTAAACCCTAAAACTCCGAGAACCCGTTTTCGATGTTTGCAACAAGACGAAACAACCACATATGCACGCTTTTCTTAGCGTGGTGGGAGGAAGTTCATCGCGGTGCTCTCGAAGAATCGGATGATCACTTGAAGTTCCTTCTTCAAAGTTCGTAGCGCGTCGGAAAATCACATATACAGGCTTTTCTTAGCATGGTGGGATGGGAACCCGGTGCGATACGTACGACAAAGCGGGATACCCATAAGTACCCTCTTGCGGGGAAACAATTGCTTTTCTCTTGCAACATGTACCAAAGACCCATATACGCTTTTCTTAGCGTGGCGTGGTGGGGGATCAAACAAATACACGGTCGCGGTGTCCTCGTCCGAGGACACCTACCATACACGCTTTTCTTAGCATGGCGGGAAAGGCCCAGTTTCCCGTTGTTTGCCCCTAAACGGGGGGGCTGCCGAAATTTTGGGTGAACGCAATGCTACACTTAGACTTGATTGAACTCAAGGACAACCGAACTCAGACTCAAAATTATGAACCTTTGAATTTGATTGAACATTCGCATAAGATTTGTGGATAAAATGCAAATGACTAATTCTAAACTTAATTAAAATAAAATTGAAATGAGAACTTGACTCAAGCTTTCTTTGAACTCGAATTGAACAATAATAAGCTTGAACTTGAAAATGATACAAGGGACTTGATGAACTACAAAGGACTACACTCAAACTTGATTTGAGCTTTAATTGAACTTGAACTCACACTTGATTTAGAAATCAAATGATGTGAGCAAAGACTTGAACAACTTGAACACAAGCAAAGACTTGCAATTTAACTATGAAGATCTGTAAACTTGAACTTGGGTCACTTGGACTTGCATACAAGAAAATACAAAGGATTATGCATAACTTGAACTCAAATGAACAAATACAAAGAATTTGAGTTTTGAACAATAATGAACTTGCAATCAATCATTAACATGGAGCAAATGGAGAATACAATGACATACTCATAATGAAATAGGAGGTGCAATGATGTGTCCACAATCAATAGCAAGGTTTCAATGAAATATCAAATGAGCATCGTACCAACATCAGTATGTGAATCTACCACGTGAAATATGAGTTCTCTTCAAAATCAACAAAGGACCCATGATATATGATATGACTCATGCACAAAGAGTAACTAATAAATATTATAGAAGATGTAACGATGCCCTGATAATCAAGAGCAATTCCCTTGTGGAAGAATACACCAATCCCTTACAAACAACAAATGCAATGACTTATTAGTCAATGTGTATCCAAGAGGTTCGAAATGAAATGCAATTTGCATACAATCAAAGTTGCTTTATTGCAAACATGCGTAGTAATATTGCGTACAAATGACAATACTTCATATAAATGTATGTGATACAGTTTGTTGATGAATGAACTTCTCTCCTACAAATGAAGATATATAATGAACACGAGCATGACGCTTGTACAAGTACATAAGTTCATATGTATGAGGAAGAATGTCATTTGCAAACAACGAAAAGACTGAAAGATATATGATTTGGCATAGGAGTCACTTTTACAAGAATGATATGGTATATTTCATTCATAAGAAGTGATAGGAACCGTAAGAGATGTAATGAGTTACCTACGAACTATGATACAAAACTGACCCATCCAAGTTCCTAGACTACTGGGGCCCAGTTTCATTCCCCATCGTTCAATTAGAATTGTACTAAGTGGATCTAAAGAAATTTTTCCTTAGTGATATGCTGGATGATTTTCCCCAACAAAGAATTCGCAGAAAGATTCAGAATGCAAAGAATTGGAAAACCAAAGCAGGAGATTAGTTAGTGCACTATAATCTACCTGTGCAAATCATGCAAGCAGTGCACGACAGTCTACCTATACAAAACAGTGAACAATTCTATTAAGAAGCTGCTATGCCACGCCACCGGATCCACAACTTCTATGCAAGCGGACAGAAAGCGTCTACAAATACTTTCAAAGTATCCCCTCACGTGCACCGTAGTTTGTAAACATATAGGTACACTAAAAGGGGTAAAAGCAATAATAAAACCCGCATGGGCCCGACAAGCGTGTTATTGGTACATATGTGACGTCTAGGGATGTTGCGCAGTCAACAAATTTGAACCCGATCCTCCTAAGAAGGTAAATAGGAGTCGACAATGTTCAATAAATAATTACAAAATGCCCCCAAACACCCGCAAGGGCCCCGGCGAGCGTGTTATTGATACACACGTGGCGTTTAGGGATGCTGCGTGGGTTATTTAAATTCGAACTCGATCCTCCTATTCAGATCAATAAGAGTCGACAAGGTTCACTAAATAATTATAAAATGCCCCCAAATACCCACATGGGCCCCGGCGAGCGTGTTATTGGTACACATGTGACGTCTAGGAATGCTGCGCGGGTCGCTAAATGTGAACCCGATCCTCCTAAACAGATAAATAGGAGTCGACAAGGTTCAACAAATAACTATAAAATACCCCCAAACACCCAAATGGGCCTCAGCGAGCATGTTGTAGAAACATATGTGACGTCTAGGGATGCTATGCGGGTCAATAAGTGAATTCAAGTTCGAGCCCGATCCTTCTGTTCAGGCAAACAGGAGTTGATAAGGCTGGAACCCTTAAATAAGTATCTGATCGCGAGGTCGATCGAGATATTTATTTTATACATTCATATTAGGCCTTCAAGGCCTATAATCAAGAAAATTCACAAACAAAGGCAAGAAGCCTATGAAACCCGATCCTCTATCGGCAGGTTGATAAGGTCGACAAGGTTTAGTCAATGAATAACCCCATACCCCGATGATGGCCGTGTTGAATGCATATCTCAACCGGAGGGGTTCACAAATATTTTCAAAATACCTCCTAAAAGTCCATTCAAAATCCAACAATTCCAAAAAATTCCAAAATCCCAAAAATATTTAAAATTGAAATAAATCCATCAAACCACTTAAAATAAAATCCATCCACCCTCCGCAACAGTTTGTCGAGGTGAACAACTGAAAATTTACTTCAGCTCACAAAGAGC